AGTTATTTATTAAATGAATATGTAATTTCTCTTACATTTTAATAACTACTATAATTTCATTGAAAACATTTCTCACCACCGACTCCAGATTTCGGCGAATGAATTCCCACAGTCGATGACTCCGTAGATAAAAATGCCACATCATTTATGAACAAAACCGAAACTTACAAAAAACCATATATAAAAACCTATCTAATGATACTTAAACAACGAATATTAATTTAATTAAGGTTATTTTCATATTGATAAATCGTTTAATAGTAATATAAATACTATAAATATAGAATTATATCAAGTTTTGACATACGATATAAAAACATGAAATTTTCCTTTTCATTATTAATTGGTGTCATTAGAAGAATCCACTAAACCAACAATCGCAAAAAATACATGCAAACATAATGATCTCGGCCCTGCGCTTGCGCGGGGAATATGCAACTAGTATAACCAATGGATCAGTTTTTTTCTTATAATAAAATGACTAGATCATAACCCGCCCTACTGGGCGGGTCTTTGTTTTTATGGTATATATAACATTTGAAAATTACAATTTAATGGTTCCAATTTTACTAAGTAATAGTCTACTGTTTAAACATTGTATTTTATCATTGTATTGTATAACATGGACGCCGTAAAATATTGTGACCCGTAAACATTTTAGTAATAGTTTATAAAGTTTTTTTTTGGCTAAATTTGGTACAAAGTTATATACACTAAATAATTTAGTCAAATTTTTAAGTTGATTTTTTAATGAAGAATTGGAAGGCTAGTATATCACTGTTAAAAAATTATAACAATAGTCAATATAAATTATATAAATAAAATTTATATTATACTTGATTTGTTCTAAATACATTTAAACATGAATACATATATGTATAAATAATTTTCAAAAATAAAGTAATATCAATGATAAAAAACCCAAAAACAATAATAATAGTACATTGGACCACAATAATCTTTAGTTTAATAAATAAGCCCATTTGATTTGTAGGCTATCATTATTTCTAATCATCATAATTTTAAATATTTCCTATTCATGTTTCCAAACACATAAATTTTTGTACTTCAGCTTTAACAGTATAGATGACGTCATAGGTGAAAACAAAAAGGTTTGCTATTATATACAGGATCTTTAATAATATCACTAGAGACCAGAATTGGTAAAACCAACGACTGCAAAATCCAATGCCATCATTTTGAAAGATGAAAATCCTAGTACACACTGCTGGTAATGGGGGATTAGAGTTTGAGACATAAAAGAGTTTCAAAAACATATATACAAGGGTGCTCATTGTCATATGGTTCAATGGTCTCTCTGAAATGCTTCTTGTGAAGACAGAAGCATTTCAGACATGGAGAGGACCAAATTGGCAGAAGAGGATTATTGGTTTCAAACCCCTTTTCATGTGTCTGGTCCGTGTCCCATGGACGGAGAAAAGCCATAAGGATCATCATCATTAGCAGCAGTGGAGAAATCAAACTGGACTTGATCGCTCAGATAAGAGTCACTGCCATTTCCAATCTGAGGTGGTCCTAATGGAGCTGTGAGATCTTGTAGCTCCAAGTATACCTCCAAGTTTTCATTTAGGTCGTAAGAGGGTGTCCATGGTATGCCGGTGAAGTCTGGTAGTTCGCTGAATATGCCTTCTTCTTCCCCTAAGCAGGTAGGAGCTGAGACATTGGGATCATGTCTTATCTGTAAAATGATAAACTATGAGAAATATGTGTACGTCAAGACTTTATACTAACTTGATTCAGAGGCATAAGATCAGTTTTTCTAAACAGCAAAGAAGCTTTATTTAATGTTTTACCAAGTCCCAATACCATTAAAACACTTCCAAAGCTGCCTTATTATAGATAGCCACTAAGATTATATAATATGACACCTACCTCACTGTTGTTGGGCTCACAAAAACGCAAGTACTCATCCTCGTCAACAAAAAGATCCAACATTGAATATATGTCATCATCGTTGTTGGGAGCTTCTAGGGTCGGTGCCAGAGAGGAAATGCCATTAGCATCAGGAAGTGGTGCAGCAGCCATAGGAGTGTTAGCCGCAACATTCACATGTGGAACATCGCTGCTAGTGGTTGTAGCTTGTAGGAAATCAGAGAAGCATGATTCAGATATAATGCCACCAGAACAATCCTTATTAGGGACATGTGAGGACGCCACAACAAGACTGGTTTCTCCGTGAAGAATTGTGGGAACATCAGTATGTTCTTGTTCCTCATCGCTCCAGTCCTCATCCTTAAACGGAGCGCCATACTGAGCTCCATTTCTAGGTCCCGGTCCATCTTTCTTGAACAGAACACACAGCACATAAGTATCCTGCACCCCCAAAACATCAAAAGCTATAAGGTAAGTGCATGCGTAAATTGAAATTATATAGCCATTTTAGATTAGTATATTACCTGAGGAACATTCTTCTGCGTTAGTGCCTTGTCCTCAAGCCTGTACTCATGGATAACCCAATCAGTCCGCTCCCCACGAGGTGACTTCCCAAAGTGATAAACCAGAGTCTTAATCTTTCCAGCAACTTCACCATTACACAAAACATCCCTCTCCTTCCCTGTGGTCTTCCAGTAACCACAGGCAGTTGCTCGGTTAGCCCTAACTCCAGTTGAATATTTCTTTTCCCTTGGGCAGAAAAAGTGCCACTTCAGATCACCACTCTTTATAAAAGACTTATCTGTAAAGACAAAAGACTCGTAAGATAGAGTAAAAGTACAAGCCTGCGGAAATTTTAATAACAGATTCAGAGGGTTTAGAAATGAATACCAGGTAAATCAGAAGGTTCGAACTTGTAAATGTCAAGTTCAGCAATAGCATCAACGAGGAGCTTCTTCCCCAACACTTTCCTCTTCAAGTAATATCTCACGAGCTCAACATCAGTAGGGTGAAACCGGAAACCAGGAGCAAGTTGAGTTTTCCCCATTGGGAGATCCAAAGGGGAAAACTTGGACTCCTGTGAACTGTTTCTTCAAGTTTTGTAGTAACCGAGACCAGTAAAAACGATTAATTTGTAATCAAATCAGACAGAAAATTGCAGAGAAACTAATAAGAAAAAGACAAGAGAAGGAGAGAAGAAAAGAGTGTGAGAGAAGAACGGCTAAGTCCAGTGTCTGAACAAGATGATCTGAAAGCACCACAACTTCCCCCTGCTCATATAACCACAGTCACACCAGAGAAAAGATGGATTCTTCTTGCAGAGATCAACAGACATCTGGTGTTCAACTTAAAAGCCTGTTGTTAAGACATTGAGACAAAAAAAAAAAGTCTTGAACTTTACAACCAACTAAGATACGAGGATACACAGATCATGTAATAAGACCAATCACCAAACGAGCTAAACCCTAGAAAGAGTAAAACCCTAAACATTAACCGACAAGTAAATCAGATTCAGAAATCAAAAGAGACCAAAAAAAACCCTAATTTCAGGGATTAGAAGGGAATCAAAATCGAGAACATGGGAATAGAATCAGAGACATTGATTGAGTCCGTACCCGGAGAGAGGTGAATACTGGACGGTGGAGAAGACGATCGGCGAAAGGGGGAAGCGAGTGAGAGAGAGAGAGTTAGAGTTAGAGAGAGTGGCGTGAAAGAAAAGCCATAAGTGAAAGAAAGGGTTGATCAGTGGTCTTATTAGGGTTTATATATGGCGGAGCTCGTTTACTAAATGAGTGGTGGGCCCGTTTTCAATCAGGCTTTTACAAGGCCCGTCAATTTACCTTCTTCTTGAGTAACTCCCAGTTCCCTATTTATATAACTTAAACTTACCCATTATAAATATATCAACCTCACCTTATATTAAACAACAGAAATATCATAATTACTATTTTATTTTTAATCATTTCTTTTTAATTTCTAAATCAAACTTTTCTCTTAATTAAAAAAATATAAACCTTATAATATATACATTTTCATATCTCTATATAAATAAACACCTACATTTTTTTTTCAAATTTATAAGTGATTTCTGTTTTTACAAAAATTCAAAAACCCCAATAATAAATTAAAATAAATAAAATTTGGAATTAGAATTAAAATAACCATAAAACGATAAGAATCTTATTACACTTAATTAAAATAAAATTAAAAGAAACAAAATCAAACAAAACAAAACATCACAGCTCATTAAATCATAAATAACAGGCTTAATATACGAATAATATAAAACTGAACTAACCAGAACAGAACAAATATTAATAACTATTACAATATTGTTTCCTAAATATTCATCCGAGTATATACGAGGGTAATCATCTAATATGTTCATCTACAATGTAACTATTTTTATTTTTTTAAAAGATGAATTAAAATAACATAATTTAAAATCTCTTTTGATCATCATGTGAATGCACAGATTATTACTTTATAAGCCACCTACACCGTTCCCATACACAAATTATCATTTCATAAACCATCTACATTGTCCATAATCTTCTATAAGTGGTATCTATTCATTTCTAATCACATTTTGTATATACTACAGCGCAAGTCGCTTAACGAATCAGATTCTGTCACATAATAAAAATTTACAATTTTTTTCAAAAATTATCGAAACAAGATAATGACTAGAAAAAAAATAAATTCTAATGTTACTATAAATTACACACGATCTTTTCTTTGTACATCATCCTTCTTTCTCATTCTCTTAACTTATTTCCTACAGAAACTCTCCATATATCAAAACATGATATGAAAAACCTATTCTCCTTCAATGTCAAAATTCTAATTCATAGTTGGCGTCATACTAAATATACAGAACCAGTGCTAAGATCAATTTCTAAGTATGGATTTCAACAGCCTATATATCCTAGTGATGTTATCATCTTAGTTTAATACAGTTTAATTTGTTGGCTACTGTGAAGTACAACCTTGCTTCCGGTTTAAGGCTATGAAAGTTCAAGAGAAAAAAAAAAGAGAAAAAGTTCAAGAAAGAGCAGCCATGGTAGATTTTAAGAGCTAAAAATTTGACTCTAGCAAATGTCTGTTTAAAAGAAAAAAAAAAGAAAAAGGAGAATGATGAAAAAAAAGAGAGGAGAAGGATGGAAGTCTGCAACAAATACATGTAAACTTTTGTAGAATCTGAAAAAGGGCTTTTGATAAAAGGTAAATGCTCTTCTTGTGTACACTTAAATATATTTACGTACATAAGAGTACTTCTAATGAGGGTTTTATCCATTAAAATTCTAAATGTTCATATATGTATATGTATGTGTTATATATGTGTATGTAGATATAGGGTCTAGAACCCCTATCTAAAAGTTTAAAAAGAAATTTTTTAAAACTTTTAGATAGGGATTCTACATTATTTTATGGACTCCACATCTATATATACATATACATATATGCATATCTAGAATCCAGTGAGTAGAACTTCTATTAGAGGTGCTCTAACTCTAGAGAAGGGCTAAAAAAACTGAAATATGGAAACATCATTATGCTTATGTGATCTCTATGATTATGTGCAGCTATTCATTTATTTTTATAATTTTATATTTCTTTTGTGGGTAAACATGTCAAAATATAATATGTGATCTTTATAATTTTCAGTTATAGTATAATTACTTATACTATGCTTTCAAAGTATCATGTGAGTAAAAATATTAATCCACTTTTGAAGGTTTAGTTTTTTCTCTTCTATATATGGTTTAGTTATGTCTGGCATGAGTTTATAATTTGTGTCTTATATAAATAAAAAATTTGTAGTAGCATACATTAAGTAGTAAATTAAAAATCACATATTCTCAACCTAAAAAGTTTAATAACGTTGACTACATAACTATATTTCAATATTATATATGTGTCAATTGTATTTAACTGAAATGTGTTTATTTTCAAAAATATTCATATGCTAAATATGGGGTCAATATTAGTTTACTATAAAAACAAGACAAAACTGAAGAAAGCTATTCCGTTGTAACGGAAAATTATACGTTTTTCAAAGATAAAAAATTACTTTACAAATGGTTTGCAATCGCGCTAAAGTTTACCATGAACTCTTATAAGGGTTTTACGAGGAAAGGGTTTGTAAATCCCTAAACTTGAAACCTCAAACACCAAACCACAACTTCTTTAACTTATAACATCTTCTACAATCAAATTTCAAACCTCTTCTACACCTAAACTCCAAATTCAAATTTATTTTTATGATTAAACAAACTTAAAACTTACATAAATCAAATTTTTTTTTTGTGGTTAAACAAACTTATAAAATATACATAATTCAAATTCGTTTTTGTGATTAAACAAACTTATAAAACATACATAATTCATTCGGACATACATTTTTATAATCTGTAGAAACATCATCATTTTCGTAAAACTCGTCCTTAACACCGTCGTCCGTTGAGTGATCAGGAACATCTTCGTACTCACGATTATGCGGATCAATGAGTAGGTTTTCATCAATTTCTGCTTCAGGTTCCTCGATTTCATTGGTGTTTTCTTCTTGTAATGGTGATTCTTCTCCAGCGATTATCCGTCCTCGAGGTGTCACTTTGATAACAGCTAACCAGTTTATTCCCGAGGTAGTAATCCGAGGGTATGAAATGAAGCAAACTTGATCTGCTTGGAAAGCTAATATGAAAGGCTCGAATTTGTTGTACCTGCAAAAATTAAGACAACGTAGAAATTAGTTCTCAGAACATGCATGTATGTCAAAAAAAAGATTTTTTTGTTGTACCTTCGTCCACCATTGACATCAACTACACCATTCTTGTTAATCCGAACACCTCTGTTGACGACGAGGTCGTACCACTCACACTTGAAGATAACGCATTTCAGACTCATACCTGGGAATTGAACTTCATAAATCTCCTGCAAGATCCCGTAGAAATATGTTTCGCCTTTCACACATATTCCATAATTACTTGTCTCCCGGTGTCTACCATAGTCATAGGTATGAAAAGTATAACCTCGGACGAAATACTTCGATGATGTAGTGACCTTTGCAACTGGACCTTGAAGTAATTCGCGAAACCATGCGGGATAGTCAGGATCGTCTTAATCAACCTGTAATAAAAGTAATAAAACTAGACATTAGACTTACTTTGTGGTAATGTATGCATAAAATTTAAGTTATAATAAATACATGTTTCCTCAACCACTTGATAAAGTGTTGATATTTCCTTTTGTTTAACTCAGTTGTCGATATACCAGGTATTGCTTCCTCGACTTGAGTCACAAATTGGCTGTAAAATTATGTTATGTTATTTAATCATTGAATATATAAATATATATGTATATATATATATAAGTGTGTATGTTTATATGTTTACCTTTCAAAATAACCAATCAATGGATGCTCACAATTGAGAAGAATATAAATGTGTGCACTATGAACGTCTTCATCACTCGACCACCAAACCTCTTTTAATTTCCCACCCAATCGCTCAATTTGACAAAAGATGTCTGGAACATCTTGTTCCATATATGTCGGCACGACACCACCATCATCATATCTTCTTGAAGCTCGTTTCCTTGTACGTACTTTCGGTGCAAAGTAGTACGATGTGAAATGTGATGTTTCTTCCATCAAACTTCCCGCAACAATAGAACCTTCAACTTTTGCTAAGTTTTTGGCTTTTCCTTCAAAGTTTTCATGGCCCTTTCATACTGATACATCAATCCATAATGCACAGGTCCACGAAGTAATGCCTCATACGGGAGGTGGACAACTAGGTGTTCCATGACGTCAAAAAAAGTAGGCGGAAATATTTTCTCCAAGTTGCAGATTAAGATGGGGATGTTTTCATGAAGTTGTTGGACAACTTCCTCTTTAAGAGTGCGGGTGCTCAGATCCCTAAAAAATGCTTTAATTCCTTATATATTACAAAAAAAACAATCAAACACATTAGTATATTCATATATATATATATATATATATACTAGAGTTTCACCCGCACATCCATGCGGGTATATTTTTCATTT